ATGTGTGTGTGTGTGTGTGCGTGTTTGTATATATACATATGTGTGCGTGTGTGTGTATATACATATGTGTGCGTGTGTGTATATATACATATGTGTGCGTGTGTGTATATATATATGTGTGCGTGTGTATATACATACATATGTGTCCGTGTGTGTGCATATCCATATGCGTGCGTGTGTATATATACATATGCGTGCGTGCGTGTATATAAACGTATGTGTGGGTGTACACCCACCTGGTAGTTGACCAGCTCAATCTCATACACACTCCAGGTGTCCTTGATCATGCGCAGGAACTCTTCCAGGCCCATCTCGCCCTGTGCCTGGGTCAGTACATCGCGTACAGTGGACTCATTGGCTCCCACTAAGTCAACGCCCCACACGTCAGCCAGGCGAAGGTCAGCCATGGCCCATGTCACGTGCAGACGCCGTTGGATGTCGCGCCAGTGACGATCACGCAGCGCCTCACTCTTCAACTCGGCGATCTGCCCGACAGCAGCAGACACCAGCATGTTAGTGGGTGATGTCATTGATTAGTGTCAGTGGTTAATGACATGTCATATGAGTGATCAAGTGTTAAGTTGATGTCAGTGGGTGACGTCAGTGGGTGATGTCATTGGTTAGTGTCAGTGGTTGATGACGTGAGATGAGTGATCAAGTGTTAAGTTTGATGTCAGTGGGGGATGTCATTGGTTAGTGTTAGTGGTTGATGACAAGTCATATGAGTGATCAAGTGTTAAGTTGATGTCAGTGGGTGACGCCAGTGGGTGACGTCAGGGGGTGATGTCTGTGGGTGATGTCATTGGTTAGTGTCAGTGGTTGATGACATGTGATATGAGTGATCGAGTGTTAAGTTTGATGTCAGCGGCAATTGCAAGTTCATTCTGCATTGTCAGGACTGCTTCTGTATCTACGCATGCAAGGCACGCACTCCAAGTCCTTTGTACACGTAACAGTGTGCTGGCCACAATATACAACAACCACCCCCCACCTTAAATACCCCCAATGGACTAGACATTCACAAACTGACAGTGAGCGGTACACTCAACAACGTTCGGTTGAGAATAGATACCATCTACAGATAGATGGCATCTATAAATAGAATCCACCTACCAAGGAGTTGGCCTTGAGATATGCGCGGAGGGTTGTGCGCAGTGTGTCGTAGGCTGCGTACTGTCGTACGCGGTTGGGCAGGCCCTTCATCTCATCCAACAGACCGTCCAGCGACTGTCGCAACTTTCGCGGTGCCACCTGCAGAGATTTGTCCCGGGTTTATTGACCCATTAATTAAGGAGGACCGTTTAGATATATTGACCGATTAGAAAAAATCCGAGGTTTATCTATGGAGGACACTCATTCATGATGGTAGGTAGATGCACTTGAAAGTCTGTGTTGCATTCCTGGATATATATTGCCCAGAGTGCCGAGACACTTATCTCATGTTATGAAAGTACGTGCGATTGCAATTCATCGTGTAACTAACAATAAGTCATATAACCCATTGCAACTCTTCGTGTACCTACCTCTGTGATACGATTTCTTCAATCACAAAACAGAACTCCCGACTAAGCCCTGCACCCAATCCACAACCACAGCAACCCGAATGATAACCCCTCCCCAACAACGACCCCTATAATCCCCCACATAAAACCAACTATAACCCATCCCCCAGACTCACCGTACTCCAGGGCATGTCGCGCATCTCGTGCACCTTGCCCCAGATTCCAGACAGGACCGCCCATGTGCTCTTGATCCCTTCGAGTTCATCAATTGCCACAGGCAACCGTTCGTTCTCCACAAACTGCATCTCCAGTGCTGCAAACGCCTCGCGCAGCTGTGCGTACTCCGACGCCGATTGCGTCAGGCGAGCTGAGGTGAATGTGGATACAAACGTGTTATATT